GAGCTCCAAGTCAATTAAAATTGAATACAAAGTGGAAAAAAATTACACGCCTAGGAAAATACACAATGACATGAGTTACAAGGTATATGTAGAGTTGAAAAAGGAGAACAGAGAATTCGGGATGTATCCATTGTGTATAACTACATTGGATAAAGAAATTGTAGATGGAGGAAGTTTATTTCAAATAAACCTAATGCAACTTGACGCAACCGATGGGGTGAATAAATTTGATACAGTTGATACACTTGCACTTGTATCTTTAAACTCAGGTGAACCAATTGAGGTTTTCGAATCGAAAAGGGATTTGATTATTTCAAATACTAATAAAAAAGAAGTGATGGTTGGACAAGTCTTTAAGGACAAGGCCACATTGAAGGCGTTGATGGAGGAATATGCAATTGCTAAAAGGTTTCAATTTCATGTTGATAGGTCAAATGCTATCACGTTTGAGTGTTATTACTTACAAACTCTTCACCAATATGTTGTATTCAACTGTATGTATATGTATTCGTAATAGTTTTATAGTGTATTCATGGCAGCATATTATTATACAACATATATTATGTTGTATTCATAATATATGCTTTCTTTCATGATATGTTTCTGTAATATGTAATATATGAATACATTATGTATTTATGCCGGATACAAGTTGTAATAGTAACCTACTGCCTGCAAATTTTATAATAAACCTAGTGCTTGTATTCTGTTGTATCTAATAGTTGTATTCAATGTATTCAAGTTTATTTTGTATTTACAGTATTTTATTTATTCCTAATACATGGTATTACTGCTGTATTGAGTATATTTCATTGGTTGTATCCATTAATTTTATATTTGTATTGAGAGTATATTACTGTATTTCTCAAATACTGTATACTGTTTGAATTCAATGTATTTCAAATGTTTTTTTTCTTGTATTCATGTATAATGTATGTAATCCATGTATTCATTGACAGATACATATTTTGTACAAATATCCAAAACTAATATTTCTCCGTTTAATGTAGGTTGTACCATCGACTGAATACTTGCACATGGTGAATGAAGAAGGAATGCATTACACCGTTTGCCTCCTAAAGAAAAATTACAGTTGTGGCAGGTTCCAAGTTGATGAGTTACCATGCCCCCATGCTTTGGCTGTCTTGAAAAGCAAGTTCCTAATGCCGGAAGATTATTGCTCGGACTATCCTCTCCCGCTCTCGACCAAATCAAAATGTAGTCTTGGGATGGTTGTGCAGTTCTTCTCAGTGGATAATATGAATGCATGTAAAAAATACAACACAACTATTTTAATGGCATCTCCATCGTTGTCAAAACCTCAATTCTTGTCATCAAAGCATTTCAACAAATCTTTCTTCTTGACATTCTTTGCACCGCTAAAGTATGTATCCACAATCCTGTTAGGCATCTTTTTGTTAAACTCAAAATCGTCAGCGTCACTAACACAATTGAGACCAGTAACTAGCGCAAACTCCCTGATTGAAAAGCATATTGTTGTACCATTCACATGTATTAAAAATGAATCAATAGGACTTTCTTCCAGCTGCAGAACCATGAAGCACCTGAACAACTGATGTTGAACCTCACAGTGCTTCATATCGAGGAATCCTCCAAAACAAGTAGTACCAAATAGTTTGTACTGATCTGGAGTAAACTTTTCTTTAAGGTCGGAGATTATGTCAGTATAGGAACTGATATGCGGCGATAAAATAGGCGGGTGTTTAACAAAGAATTTTATTTTCTGCATACAAAAAATAACTAAAAAAGATAAAATATATGGCTGAAAATACAGATGAATACAGTTAGGTTGAATACATAACTCATTCATGAATACAACATAGTAAACTGATAATTACAACAAAAACTGCGAGTTATGGCAATAACTGTTGTTTTAAATACAGATGGATATAGATAGGTTGAATATACGGATGAATACAGTTAGATTGAATGCATAACTAATTGATAAATAACATCAAAATGATAGAACTAGCAATGTATTTAAAAATGTTATTGTATGAACTCAAATACATATAAATATATCTAAATACAACAGTTAAAAATTATTGTACAAAATAAAAATCAGTGTATGCCCTTATCAAATACATATGAATACAAGAAGAGAAAATCACTGTACAAACTAAAAATCAATGTAAGCGAACTCGAATACATATAAATACATCTACAATTACCTTATCGTTCTGTGTTTCCGAGCTACATCCTTTAGCGACCCCTTTTTCCTTGCTCCCAGAAGCATCATCCATAAGTTTTCTTCTCTTTTCCACATCAGGAAGTGTTGATTTTTTCAAAGATTTCTCATCTTGACCTTGTTTCATAGGGTCATTGCGTATTTTTGTTCTCCTTTCAGCTTCAATAGTTGTTGATGAACCTGTAAATACAGGTTCCTCTTGAGTGATTTGCAAATCGAAAGATGGCCCTTCGAAATTGAGTGCTTTAGTGGGTATACCTCGGGTAACCCTCTTCGGAGTTGTTGAATCAGCCATTGAAGAGGAAATTTAAAGTATTCTGTAGAAAACCTAACAATGGTGAATATTTTAAAATAAACTGTTGAAGAGAAAAAGAAGAAGCTTTAACCGACCAAAAACCCAAAAACTTTAACACTTACCATAACTTTTTTTTGGAGAAAAAAAAAGTTAAAAATTGAGAGAGACAATGGTGTTGTGAGAGAACTATAAAGCTTGGGGAAGACGATGGGGAGAATCGTGGTTCAACAATGGAGAAGACAAACTTGTTGTGAGAGAGAGATCGTGGAGAGAGAAATTAGATATACTGTGCAGTGATTTTGGGAGGGAATAACTGAAAGAATGAGAGAGAAAAATATTAGACAACGTATTTAATGCCTTAACGGTAGTGTATACCATAAATACATATTTTGCTATAAAAAATAAAAGGTAGCTATAGAAAATAATATTTTAAAAGGGTTTTTATTTATAATAAATAGGGTGTAAACCTTTTCTATAGGAGGTAAAATTTCCAAATTTTTTCAACCAAAAAAAAAACATTTGGCATGTTCTAGGAAATGGGCTGGTGTAGAAATGGTGAGGCGGAACAACACCTTTCAGCCTTCTTAGATTCACTTACTGGGCTGAATTGGGCTAATTTGGACTCTCGTCCCCCATGTTTTGGGCGGGTGTAAACTAAGCAGGCTTGATTTGCAAAGGGGTTGTTGGGCCTCACCATTTCGTGGTCTATAATCCAATGGTATTCTCCAACAAAACTATGCTGTGTACCAAAATAAAAATTGAATTACAATTTTTTCAATAATAATCTACATTAATTGGAAATCTAACTGATTACCATCCAATACTTAACTATTGTTCGTTATAACATGAGATTTTAGAAGTAAATAACAGTCTCATTAAAAGATACTAAAATGAAGTATTTTAGATCTCCAATCTCCCAAAACAATTAAAACGAAAAAGGAAAATCTCCCAAAGAAAACGTTTTTATAGAAGTTACGTTGGGTTTGAAATTTATTTAAAAATGGAGTTGATACAGTTATAGAAAATTGGGGTTTAGTTTTTTTTTGGTTTGTTTAGAAGTTTAAATTGTATAAAGAAACAGTATAAATTTCTTTTATCACGTAAAAGTTTATTTTAGGTGAAATTCGTTACACGAAAAATAAGACATGTTACCTACATAATTGGTTAAAAGCAACAATACTATAAATTATTTTACATTATCTATGCATATAAGTCAAACATACACTATCATACTGTATGGCACAAAAAGTAAAAGTAAAAAATGCGTACTTGTAATGAAATGAGGGAGTTCTGAATAAGCTATGTCCATGATTTAAGAAACTGCATTTAATTTACCAAATAGGATAATACGAATGTCATACCACTTAGCTGAAAGGCTGCAAATTAATCCCATGAAGATGACATATACATATTTTGATAAGAGCATAAGATATTAAAAATGAGTGACGTTGAAGCATCAACCCAAAGACAATATTAACCACCCAAACTTGCTCACATTTGAAAGGCTCAACGAATTTTACATATTTATGGTCTTCATTAATGTATTAATGCCATCTCCTTCATTTTTTCTCAAGGAAATATGTAACAATCAAGAGGGCCAAACCCTTCATTTTGGATGTTATAAGGAAAAAGAAAAGGAAATGCATTTAATAAAAGTATAATATTATGTGTCCTTCTGTGGCTTGAATAATCTATTTCTTTTACAATACTGTTAGTCTGACTGACATTACAATTTTGTATATATACAGTTAATAAGATTGAAACTAGATTAAACTAGCATAAATGAGGAACCATAAAAACATCTACTATGTTTTTCCTAAAAGTAAATAATTAAAATAAATAAGGGAACCATATGAGCCTAAAGTGAATGCTTCTTTTATGTTTTTCCGTAAAAGTATTTTTGGCGTTACTCGTATTACATTTTAAAAGGAAATTAGAGATATAGAATTGCGGAATAAGAAAGTAAACGAAAAGTTGATAGAATAGTACCACGACTCAAAGAAGAAAGAATGAAAATCCCATTTAATTAAAGAAATAACCAATATAATTGATTAGTTTTTGCCTTTTTCTTTTATTTTTTAGGGATAATTACAATGATCTTCCTCAGGTTTTGCCTCGTGTATATACAATTTTCTAATGTCAGACTAATAAAATTTTTCTGTTGGTTTGCGAGATTACGCTTGCTTCTTTTATTTTGATTTTTTTGTCATCATTATTTTAATTTATTTTTCATTGACAAAAAAATTGCCTGATTACCCATCTTCTTTAGATTTTGCTCTTTTTATTAATTTTCAAAAATCCTCTTTGGAGGTTTCACATAATATTCAAGATGACTTCCAGTACTATAATTTAGTGTAAATAATATATTTTTTTAAAGTCGTGCAATAGAAAAACTTAAATAGAAATAAAAGCATCAACCTTTGCTAATACTAGAAAACAAAGAGCTCGAGCCCAGGTGGGTACAAAAAAATACAAAGGAAAAAGTGATTACTGATAACTGGTACTAATTGAAGCTGATTGGATTAGATGAAGCATAGTACTTTTACGTAAGCAGAGCTCAAAAAGAACCTGCAGCATATATTCACCTATTGCGTACGTAAAGATTTGATCAGAACCTATTATTATTATTGCTAGCTATAATACCTATCATCGCGTTGGACTTGGAGTTTTCATATTACAGCAGAATTGTACAGTCTTTTAAGTACACTTTGTACAATACAACAAGCCAAGAGAAGCAAAAATATTAAGAGCATTAATTAATGAATAAGCTTAGCCTGTGCCAAAAATTTAATGTGGTTTGCCTTTGCCCATTGAGATTCAACTCAAGAGAGGAAGAAGAAGAAGAAGCCAAAGTTAGAAAACTATCTCTGCATATAACCGTTGCTTCAACACGCGTCTCAAAAACTCCTAGCTTTTATTGTCTTCTTAAGTACCAACTTATCTTTGTATTCATCTCTTCTTTATCTCTTTTTATTTGGCTTCTTTAGCTTTTTTTAAACTAACCCCTTTCCTCAAAGTTTACACCCATTACTAGCTACCTCCCTTCACTGTTTCTTGATTTTCCGGCGAAGGTTACAGCTTGTTGAATGTGTAATCAGTCGCCGGCGGCAAGGTGAACCCATGTCTCAGAAAGCTATGGTTCCCGCCGGCGCCGGCAACAGAAATGGGGGTCAGCTGTATCCTCCACCACTGGCTTCACATGAGAACATTGTTAATGACCAAAATCTGTTCAGGGAGTGTCTCAAGAATTTCCACTCTGTCATGGGTACAAAGTACACGTAAGCGCAACTTACCGTATATTTAATTTACTGGTGTATTTTTTTTTTCTTCAAGAAATTACCGTGATTGATTCAACAATGAGTTTTCGGGTTTGATAAAATCAATTTTCTGGACCAAATCCTATATATATATGTGAGAAAAATAATTAAGTATATATGTGTGCGGAAAATAAATAGAGTTAGATATACATTTTGAAATTATATCAAGAGCTACATAATTTAAATTTTGGTTCCGCCTAAATACTAACTTAAAAAAAGAAGGAAAAAGAGACGGAAGGTTCTGTTTATTTAATCTTTGAATTGGTTTTTGTTGAAGGGTTCCTGTGATTGGAGGGAAGGAGCTAGATTTGTATGTTCTCTATGTAGAGGTGACTAAAAGGGGTGGCTTTGACAAGGTTCAGCTTCTACTAAAAATATTTTGCTTTTATTTTATTCTTATATTTTACATTTCATTTAGATACACCTTTTTTTATTAATGATATATAGGTTGTGGAAGAGAAGAAATGGAGAGAAGTGAGTTCAGTATTCAAGTTTTCTCCAACCACAACTAGTGCTTCATATGCACTGAGGAAACACTATTTCACTTTGCTTCATCGGTTTGAACAAGTTTACTTTTTTAGACGTGAAACTCCCTTGCTTGACAAAACTCCAGGTTAGTAAATTTCCAATATGTGTTCATTTGTGTACTTATAATTTTTTGTCCTTATTAAGTGACTAGCATTTTTCCCATTAATGATAAAGCTCAAGGATTAATTTGATCTTTTACTACAATTAGATGCATTCAATTTCCAGTTTTCCACCTCTCCCCAAGTCATTTCCTCTCCTCTCTTCGCAATACCTCGGATGAGTAATTACTAATTAGAGGATCTTCATTCTGCCACGTGTCATGTGTCATAGACTTCGAGACATGGGATATAAACTTTAATTTATTGCTTAAATTCTGGCGTGCATAAAGTGGAGTATTATTTTTGTTACTCATCTAGTAGTACTATTTTAATTTTTTACTAGGAGTCTTTTGAAATTCTTTTATATATTTTTTATTTTAAAATTATTACAAATACTTCTATGTCGTTTATAAAATTGCAAATTTTTATTTCAAAAATTCAAGAATGAATGTTCGAATTAAGATCGAAAATATGATATTTAACCCTTGTATTTCAAACTTTACTAAAATTTTGTAACGGAAATTCATGCCAATTGTATTTCAAAAATTTGTATATAGTCAGCTAATTCATTAGGACACGTACAGTAATAAATACTTGGGTTAAAGTAAAATGTTGTTGAATTTCATACCTCGTTATTTTTGTTTGTCTTCTCGTCTATGGCTTGTGGTGCTAAATTGTTCTCGTGGATTTGTACATTTGAGGTGCAGATTTTCTGATCGGTAATTTTCTACTTTTGAAATAGATTTTTTTCTATTTGGGATCCTACTCATTGACTCGACCTTTTTGCCTCTAAAAAATCCTATTTAACTCGAGTACCTTCCAAGTCAAATCAACCCTTCGATATTTAACTTTGTAATGGTATAAATAGGAGTTATGTTTCATAATATCTTGCATTTATCTTGGTGTATTGTATACGGTCAAAATCGAGTTTGCCATTCATATGATTAGTCAAGATTGAAAAATAATGGATCGGGGGTCGTCATTATAATATCGAGATATGATGTAAAGCCGGGTTATCGAGCTCGAGATCCAGACCGATCAATACCGAGCTCGAGTCAATATCGAGTTATGATGTGAAGTGGTGTTATCGAGCTCAAGAGCCAGAGAATGATCAATACCGAGCTCGAAATCCAGAGATCGACCAATACCAAGACCGACCAAGATCGAGCTAAAAGACAAAGAGTCGTTGTAGCCGCACTAGGGGAGAGAATCTCGGCGGGAATTAAGAAAAAGCTAATTAACTAATCTATCATGGAATTCCCATTATGTATTTTTAATTATATCCAAAGTAGGATTCCTCCACTATATGAAGAGTGGCTATCATTTCTATAAGGGACATTTTAACATTCAAACATCAAGACACTCTCATATTTCAAAGATAATTGAGATTTACACACATATAGTAAAGATGATCCTTTTTTGGGCTTTGGGCATTGATTCATCTTGCTCGTTTATAAATTATTCTCCACTCAATTTGAGTTTGTATTCCATTCCTTTTTTACAATCAATATTCGATATATTTCTACTTATTTTTCTAATTTGTACCAAGTTATACCACGTATCCTTAGAGCTACGTATAAATTTAACTCTATCCTTTTTTCGGGTAAACAGTTTGGCGCCCACTATGGGGCTAAGAATAACAGTAGTTATTTGGTATGAATCTCTGCAAAACACGCCATTTTTACACTTGCTTTTGGAAGTGTCTTTGATTTCAGGTTAAAAACGACGAACTCTCAATTAATGGCCCTACTTATTGACAACGAAGCTTGCCTTTAAGATGAGAACAATAACCCGACGACCGAAAATGAAAAGCCACTCGTCGATCCTATTGGAACTCGGGCCGCAGATCCAATCGACGTTAATTCACATGTGGCCATCGAGGCGAACCAAAGTTCCGACCTCGAAAACAGCATTCATGGTGGAACTCAACCTGTAGTTCGAAATACCCAAAATGTTGGAGAAGACGGGATCAGCCTACATATGATTTTTAAAATATTTCAAGTTCAACATGTAGCAATAGCTCAGTTGTAGAGCCAAACCCAGGCACCGAGCAGGGGCGAGCCCGGTCCACCCCGAGAAGTCACCCATGAAACGGGGCCAGCTGTAGTAAGATCAAATGAACAAGAATGGGGGACTAATCCTGAAATTATTAAGATGTTAGAGGAACGAATTGAGTCAGGAGAAAAGAGGATTGAAAAAACGACAAAAAAGTAAAAACTTATAACTCCAAGGTTAATCAGATCACGGGGGAACCACCAGTATTGAAGGGCTTGGATTCCAAAAAAATTGTACAAAAGCCTTTCCCCCCGAGCGCGGCTCCTAAACCGATCCCCAAGAAATTTCGCATGCCTGAAATTCCTAAATATAATGGAACGACCGACCCCAATAAATATGTCACCTCTTACACATGTGTCATTAAAGGGAATGATCTAGAAGACGACGAGATTGAATCCGTACTATTGAAGACGTTCGGGGAAACCCTGTTAAAGGGGGAAATGATATGGTACCATAATTTACCGCCTAACTCTATAGATTCTTTGGCTATGCTTATAGATTCTTTCGTAAAAGCACACGCCGGAGCCATAAAGGTCGAGACCAGGAAGTCAAACTTTTTCAAGGTAAAGCAAAAAGATAACGAGATGCTAAGAGAGTTCGTATCTCGTTTCCAAACGGAACGAATGGATCTACCAGCGGTCGCGGACGATTGGGCTGTACAAGCTTTTACTTAAGGACTGAACGAACGAAGCTCGATAGCTTCACGATAGTTGAAGCAGAATTTGGTCGAGTACCCGACTGTTACCTGTGGCGATGTGCACAATCGATGTCAATCGAAGATCAGAGTTGAAGACGACCAGTTGGGACATCGACCGAGAACCAAGGTCGAACGAAGACCGATATCGGTCGTATAACGGAGATCGTAGGGGTAGCGAACCTACATGCAACTCCGTATGAGGCAAAAGGAGAAGTGATCGAGGCCAAGGGTCTCGGGGGCTGTTGAACAAGAATGGGTTCGACAAGCATATCAGACCTAAGGAAGCACCACGGTTATCCGAATATAACTTCAACATCGATGCATCCGCCATCGTGTCAGCTATCGAACGCATCAAAGATAGTAAGTGGCCTCGACCTCTGCAGTCCGATCCAGCCCAGAGAAATCCCAATCAAATGTGCAAATATCATGATACCCATGGCCACAAAACCGAAGACTGCAGGCAGTTGAGAGAGGAGGTAGCCCGTTTATTCAATGAAGGGCACCTTCGAGAATTTTTAAGTGACCGGGCCAAAACTCATTTCAAAAATAGAGATTTCAATAGACAAAAAGAAAAATAAGGGCCACAACACATCATCCACATGATCATCGGAGGGATCGATGTCCCCCAGGGACCGGTGCTTAAACGCACTAAGATGTCTATTGTAAGAGAGAAGCAATCTCGGACTCAAGATTACATACCTAAAGGAACCTTGTCCTTTAGTGACAAAGATGCGGAAGGAATCGTGCAACCCCACACCGACGCACTGATAATATCTATACTTATGAATAAAACTCAAGTTAAGCGTGTATTAATTTATCCAGGTAGTTCGGTCAACATCATTCGATCAAGGGTCATAGAGCCACTCGGTCTACAGGACCAGGTCGTACCCACTACCCTGATACTGAACGGATTTAATATGGCATGTGAAACTACTAAGGGAGATATAATCTTGCTAGTAAACGTGGCCGGGATCATCCAAGAAACAAAGTTCCACGTAATTGAGGGCTATATGAGATATAACGCCCTGTTCGGGAGGCTATGGATCAACAACATGAGAGCAGTGTCCTCGACCCTTCACCAGGTTCTGAAATTCCCAACATCGGAGGGAATCAAAACGGTCTACGGGAAGCAACCAGATGCAAAAGAAATGTTTGCCGTGGATGAAGTGATTCTGATATCTTCACTATCATTGACAAAGGGATCAGATTCGAAGGAGGAACATGATGCTAAATAGAAATTACAAATGTCAGCTTCGACCCAACTAAAGAATCGAAAGACTGACAAAGATGATGACTATGGGGTCCCTTAATCCTTTGTGGTCCCCGATGATTCTGACGCTACCCAATCAACGGTCAAAGAACCGGTGAAAATCACGCTAATTGAACATTTGCCCGAGCGAAAGGTATACCTGGGCACGGGGTTAGATCCCGAGCTCAGGAAAAAGTTTATTCAATTTCTTATAGCTAACATGAACTGTTTCGCTTGGTCCCACCTTGACATGACAGGGATCCCACCAAAAACGACCACTTATAAACTAAGCTTGGATCCGAAATTCCATCCGATAAAGCAAAAAAGAAGGCCCAAGTCCGAGGTCAAACATGCCTTCATCAAGGATGAGGTAACCAAACTTCTTAAAGTAGGATCCATTGGAGAAATAAGATACCTTGAATGGCTAGCAAATGTGGTGGTGGTCCCTAAGAAGGGAAACAAACTTAGAATGTGTATAGATTATAAAGACCTGAATAAAACATGCCCTAAGGATTCTTTTTATTTGCCCAATATCGATCGTATGATCGATGCCATTGCTTGCCACAAGACTCTCAATTTTCTCGATGCCTACTCCGGGTACAACCAAATACAGATGAATCCGGAGGATCAGTAAAAGACCTTGTTTATCACTAAGTACGGTACCTACTGTTATAACGTAATGCCATTCGGTCTAAAAAATGTTGGTGCAATTTATCAACGCCTAATAAACCGAATATTCAAAAAACAAATAGGAAAATCAATGGAAGTTTATATTGATGACATGTTAGTTAAGTCCCTGGGAGCAGAGGACCAATTAAAGCATTTGCAGGAAAATTTCAACGTACTAAAGAAGTACAATATGAAGTTCAACCCCGAAAAATGTGCATTCAGGGTTGGCTCGGGCAAGTTTCTTGGTTTCATGGTGTCAAACCGAGGAATCGAGATCAACCCCGATAAAATGAGAGCTATCGAGGACATCACGGTAG